GCAGTGCACATTTCTCAGTTGGTTCGATGTACAGGTGTTATCCATAGAGGTATCGCCTCATATCTAAGAAAAAAAAAACACATTACAATACTTGCCTCTATTTTTGTTGGGCTTCATTTCATAAATCAAATCAAACCAAATAATTTTATTGGTGTAAAATCCAAATATTGGGTTGTTACCAAGACAAACATGACTATATTTACAAACACAGTATATAAATTTAAGCAACATTCATATTATATAAGTATCTCATACATTTAGATATTTTGGAGGAGGTGATACTTTTGCAAATTTGAAATTGAAAGTACAATATTCTTCATGCTAAAATATAACACAACAAATATATAAGAAAAATAGAAAATAATCACAAATTTGTATTACATAATTCTAGTTTTTCTTATCAGCTAGACTATTTCTTAGTACATATAAATCATTAACCCCCTTAGCACTAATTTTAGTTACATACTCATTAGATGTAAACATAAATGTTATTTTTTTCCTCATCAGACATTTTGTTGAAAGATGGAACTATACTCTCTACTTCCTGAAAACGTTTTGGCTTACGTCTTTTCTAAAATTTGACATTTAAAGCAAAATGATATTCATCTTCAACCCCCTTTTTACAGAGGGGCATATTTTTTTTTCCACAGGTAATTTACGGTGTATACCCTGTTCAATATTTAGATTACTATTACTTAATCTTATTTTGATGAAAGTAGACATCACGTATCGGTCTAAATCTATTAGTAAAAAAAAAATCCTAATTTTTTGATTTTCTGTATGTTCTTAGTTTGTTTCCATTAGGGTTCATTTGGTCATTAAAAAGACTGTTTGTCCAGAAATCTTTATATCTTTCAGCTAATTTGTTCCCTACAGCATTAATCAGGCATTTTTTGGTGAAAGTATTTTGATTTTCCCATAAATGATTGAACCCTATTTTTGATTTACGATTTATTAGAAAACACTCAGACACATTGACAGAAGAACAATTAAACCTATTAAACATGTTAAAGTCAATACACATAGCTCATTATCATCAAACAGTGTGAATGATTATACAAAAAGATATACAACATATATGGATCGATATGACATAAATCAAAGAAATACATTAACTTTTCTGATGGACAAGGAGAGTTTTTTGTATAGTTTAGTATTACAATAAGACAGTAAACCTTCAAACTTGATAATGCTCAGGTAAGCTGCGTAGTACACAGGTATGTATGACACAATATTTTCAATTGTACATATATACAAAATATGGAATTCATCTCCAATACCATTTCTACACAAGTTACATGTTCTTTCCTCCCTTGGGATATTGTACCAACGACCAGTTTCTATAGGTAAATGTAAATTAGATGTACGTAGTTTGGTTAACCACGTTCGATTAAACTCACTAAGTCTCAATAAGTGATTTTCCAAACAAAACTGGCCACGGGAGGAGTTTTGTATATCACTATACCATTTTTGTATAAACTGGTCACATAAAATTTGCTTCACAACAATATAATCACAAAATGCAAACTGGTTTTTAAAAATGTAACTCATTCCAACTTCATTAAAAATAGTTTCTGCACATTTAATCCATTTGAAGGTATATTTAGTTTTAATTTGTAAGGATAACATCAGTTGATACAAAATACTACTTAGTTTAGAATCATTCTGTATAAGTCTTGTCCAGAATGATACCGTTCTAAGATTAACTTTAATTTCGAGGGGAAATCTCCCAAGTTCACCTAAAACCATAAAAATTTTGATGGCAAAATGATAAATATCTACATTCAAGACTTGAATTGTCTTTAACTATCATATTAAGTGCCCATATTTCACTGCAATAAAGTAGTATAGGTTTCAAACAACTTTCGAACAGTTTTAAATGTGGATAAATATTAGGTTTATCAGAGAATAAAAGCTTTCTGATGCAAAACATTGCCTTTGAAGCTTTCATATGTGAAAAGTAGACCATTTCTGACGAGTTAAAATTATTGCATCTTGACTGATATTGCATTCCCTACTTTCTCTTTAAAGTTTGGTACGACCCTATATATGATAATGTTTTACTTGTCTTTATGTCGATGCAATACAGAAAGAATTGAAAAAGTTTTTTTTACTGTGTTAATTGTATAATGTGCTTGTTTTTTTCTTGGCATCATTTCAAACGACATTCACGCCATCTTGAAGATAAAACGTAACAACCATCATTGGTTGCTTAATGGTGTAGCGGAAAATAATGCAGTTTGGGTACTCAAGATCAATTATACAATTAATTATTGCTCAGTCATATTTGCTTTTTGGGTACGAAAATAAGAGGCGACACATACCAAAGGGACATTCATACTTGAACTTTTGGACGAGCACTGAAAGTCAAAATTGAAACATTTATTACTAATGCATGAAAAATATTTATTAATTTATTTGCATTTTACACGATTGATATATAATAATTATAGGTATTTGTATGTTATTGTTTAAGGTAGCTGGGGTATCTTCCTCCATCTTGGATTTGAAATAGCAGATGATAATCGGTCTAGATCTTTCAGAATGAAATGTGCAAATTTCGAGAGAAGTATGTAATTCATGTGTAAGAATTTTCATGTTAATATAGCGAAAAATTATGTGTTCTATCATATTGTACGACTGTATTTTACAAAAGAAAAAAGAATATTTTTGTTTGCTTCATTTTTTCAACTTTGCGGAGATAACTCCGATAAAGTAATTTTTTTAATAGAATGTGTTGTGAATTTACCTATTTTATAATGTAGCAAGAAAGCGAGTCCGGTGACCCAATTTTTTCTTTTTCGTATCTGGAAGCATATTATTAGAGCTATCTTCTCATATTGCTTTCCTATTTGCTGCTGACACAGGATGAGTCATGGACATGCTTAATTTCTACTTTCTTTTTGGCTAATTATTATATATTTAATTGATCCAACTTTTTGTGTACTATACATATGTGGATATCTATTTTTCTTTTTTTCTTTTTGGGCTGCTTGTTTGTTATCTATATCAACCACACTTGCAATAAAATGCATTATAATATATATATAGTATTAAAAAAAAAAACATACTATAGATTCTTTATCTACGTATTCTTTAAGAACTTAAATAGTTCTCGTTTAACTTTTTTTTTTTTATCTCATTGTTTGTATTGTATTATGAAAAATTATTGATGTTGTAATGTTTATGCCCTTTGGGGCCCATAATTGGAAATAAAATATCTTATCTTATCTTATTCTATCTTAAAATTCTATGCTGTATTTTCTTTTTATCACACAAAATTGGGTTTTCCATGCATAATCTCTATACAAAATCTGAAAATTTTGCACAACCTGTAGCGTGAAAAAAAAGCCTGGTGACCCATACCTTTTATTAACTTTTTGAAAAAAAGCATGATATGACTACATTTTGACAAATTATTAAAAACATCTATGGATTTTAATTTAGACCCCCATCTACCTAAACTATCATATAATTGTACAATTTAGAAAGTATGAGACAACACAACACGCATGTAAATAATGTGACCAATGTGTATTTTATCATCGGAACACGGTAAATATTTCAAAATTGGGCAGAAAAAAGGTATTCCACGGGATATTCGATACTTGATCAATGAATAGTTTTGCCTTTACTGGTTTGCCTTGCTATATAATCACGGTCGCGTCAAATTCATATTGATTATTAGGCTCAGGTACTTAATGTAGATTAATTGATAATTTTGAATTGATAAGGACAAATTAATGCTTAATTGGTATTTGCTTCGCATCACGCTTATATACTAAATACTTATGAAATAAGAATAAAACTCCCTCGTTTTCCCTAAAAAATCATATCAAACACAAACACTGAAGTGATTTTGATACTTCGAAGCACTCCGTACCTTTAAAGAAAGGTTAAACTTATGTAACAATTTTTAGGCCAATTGTCGAAGGAAAAAAAATGTACTATTTAGCTAGTGAAACCCCATAAGAAATTTCGCAATTGTTAGGGATGGTTGTTGTTTATATCATCGTGCTTTCTGGTCAGGAATTTGGTGAAGGCTATATAAACAATTGGTGGTCTCTTCTTAATTTCATGCATTACTTGTATATACTGCAAGCGAATTATCTGAACAGTACTGAATTTACCGCAGTGGATAACTCTGAAAATTGACTGCAAGACTGAACAGGACTTGATAATCTATTGTTCATATGTTTCAGATGATGTTAAGATCAAAATAATCGGTTAAGACTAAAATTCATATAACTAAAGATATTTCTTTCCTGACTTCATTGTTGCGTATGTCACATAACTTTCCTGATGACCTTACACTGCATTTTAGATATTATCCTTCGTATCAAACCGAAACTCTCAATATCATCATACCGAGGGTCCTTTTGGTGATATAACATGAGCTAGGATAGTACAAATAGTTATAATATAATTTCAATGCAATCAGAAATTGTTTGATGTGGATACATATCGGACTTCGTATTAGATTTGAGGATTGATATATATATGTATTATGAAAACCCGATTTAACGATATTTCAGTCCAAAAGAGTCGTCAAATTTTATATGCAAAACAAAACACAGTCATACCCCTTGAGAATTAATCCATTTATAAGTTACACCAGAAGTCCGTCTAGTAATGGACTTCTGGTTACACACATGGTTTGTGAGAATTTCGAAAACATATATATGCTGTATATTATTTCATTTCGTTAGATACAGAAATCAGAATAGTAATATTCAAGTAATGTAATCATTGCACGCTGTTGATTATAACCGTTAATCAAAATCTTTAACTACGTAGAATTTACTTGGTAAATTGATTTTTCTCTCTATCCAATAAATCTAATATTATTGAACGATTAAAACATTTAGAGTACATTTTACCACAAAGAAATCTTTGTCTACTTTTCCAAAAATAAATCATATCGTCTATATCTCTCACATTATACACACATTTATAAATTATTTTCCTCTGTAACTTGATATATCGTTGTAATGTTGTCCAGAATGGACGTTTATAGACCGTCGTTCATTCTTTTAAATCATTAGACAGATATTAAGGTAAGGAGGAACATTACGTATGTACAAGGAAATCATTCAACCTTTTTTCAATTCCAATAACATTCAGTCACCCGTGTTAAGCGAAGCAGATGCTAATATATGTAATATATAGCAAACATTCAGACAACAATGAACAGAGATACCATCAAAGACTATAGAAAGAATGAAAGAAAGTATAATAGTGTGTAGGCAACAGGTAGATTTACTGTAGAGGGAAACGGATTACAATTTATCATACCGTGTTGATATAAATAGATTTTGAGAAAACAGATGGAGAGCTACACAGTTAGAGGTATAATTGAGTGAATAACGCATAGAAAATAACAGATGCACAAGATTAACCCACCGTGAAACTTCTGAACATCTAACGTGAAATTCTGAAAGGAAATAACAGGTCAAAAGGGGACGTGAGGTGAAGTTTAAATACAAAGAAAAATGAAGTATTGTGTGTACACACGCGACGACGCTATTTTATTATTAAGCAATTGTTAAAGTTTATTTCATTCACAATAGAGAAATGCTTAAGAAGTGTTTAAAATAAATATTTTGGACGGATATGTGAATGGGCTACCATGAATGAAGGATAACGAATTTTGTTGAGAATGATCTTGATGATAGGCACTTGGAGATACACGTGGGAAGTTGTGACATAGTCTTTACAGCGTTATAAAATCGGTTGTTATCTGTCAAATTGTCGCAAAGGATTTAGTTATAATCAAGATCGGGATTAAGATAAACAAAGTTTCAAAAACATGCAGTCCTTGGAAGCCGCAGAACAAAGCAGGACAGAAATAACACCAATGCTTAAAAGGAGGAAGCGCAAAATTGAAAGACTTTTAGGTAAACAGAAGTTTGAAAGTGCTGAATTAGAGAGACTTTATAAAATTTATGTTTATACTTTACAACAATCTGCTGTTGGATACATGCTTGGAGTTTTTATTATTTTAACTGCTTGTTTATCAATCTTAAAATTTGTTTACGTAAAAAATGTGACAATAAGTGGAATATACTTGGGAATTCAGTGTTTAATATTTATAGGAATTTACGTATTATTACAAACTAGATTTACCAAAGAAACCAACTTTCCTGTTATTTGTTATATAATTTTGCCGTTTTTATTTTGTTTTGCAATTCTTTCATTTCCATTTGATCTCGGTCCTGACTTTCCTGGAAGAATCCGGACAGTTTACACAGTAGCAGACGGTGTTTGGGAAGTGATGTTTGTCGTTTTCATGATTTATTCACTAATGCCACTGAGGACATATATTGCAGCAGTTTTGGGAATTATTCTTCCCCTGTGTCATCTAGTTATTTCGGCGGTTATCGTAGAAAAAAAATCTTATTCGTTACTATGGCGACAGGTAAGTTTTATACCTATTTACACAAACATGTGTATCTAATAAAAGAGGGTCTTAACTAAGTTGATAAATCAAAACAAACAAGTAAATTAGTTCCGGTGTTGATTGATACTCTGGTTATCTTGACTTTTCGAATCTTTCTTAACAACTACCTATGATAAGATTAAAACAATATAACGGACAACCAAGTATTATTATAAGGAACTAACATATGTCAGGATAGTCAGCTGATTCGTATACCCAGATCTAAATGACAAGACGTAAAACGATTAAAGTACTATTAGTACTGAAAAAAGTACCCGGTGTATTCAAGTCGATGTTCTTGTCAGTGACATACGATACTTCATTAAATGGCACCCAACCTATGAATAGAAGTTAATTTGCCAAAATTTTTATATAAAACTCGGTTGGTTATCTCATTTATCTAATATAAACTATGCATTAAGCCTAAAGACTGACAATCAGAATACACACTTTCACACAAAGGTTGGTAACCGCAGGCGGCGATGTCTCGTCCGATATGATGACCATTAAACCGTTACATGTCTTTCTTAATGAAAAGTTTTGTTTACATATGGTGTTCGTCAATTCAGGGTAACTGACAGCTTGACCCATACAAATCTGACATAACATTAGAAAATGTATTTCCAGTTTGACAAGACAGTACATAGGATTGTTAATGGTCGTACATTTAAAATGTTACTGCAAAACTTTGGATAGATAAATGTTTGAATATATTTGATCTGTATGATTATATCCGTCTCTGAAACTATTTCGTAATGACTTTTCCGAGAGAGAAAAAGAAAATCCTTCCATACCTGTATAAGGGGACGACCATTTGATATTCTGGGGAACAGACGGATTTTTATGAGGATAGACTATTCACAAAATGATCCACGTAGTCTTTCAATCTATTGCTACACATGATTATTATTTTCCGTGGCATAGCCGCGCGAGTTTTCACTTTTGAACACAATTGTTTTCTGCATTTTGTGCTGCAGAATATCTATTTTCATTCTGTCGTATGCACGGTTGTTTACCTTTTTTATTTTTCTGCTTTAAACAGGCCAAGCTATTCATTTCCTCCTGCCAACCCCCCCCCCCCCCCCCTCCTGAAATTCAAATGTCGTCCCTAAAGCTGATGATTAAACATCGATGTATGTTAAATACATCTAAACACTATAGTATGTATAGAAAAATAATATTTACTTTGAAAACAATGGAATAGCACCTGACTCATTGCGGTATAGACATTTTATATATAGATACTTACCCTACATGTTGTTGTTTGGTGTTTGAACAAGACATGTGTATATTAAAATGTTATGATACTTTATATGTAGGTTATGTGTTTTATATGTCTCTTTTTTGGTCGTCAAGAGTCTTCTAGTCTTCTACTGGAATACTCATATTAATCTTTCTATTATTTATATCCTGACTTCGCTAATTTTCCTAAAACGTATTTTTGAGAAAATAAATATATAGAATCAAGACAAATCAAATTAATTTCAAGTGTCTAACTGATATACTTGCTTTCGATTTCCTATCATTGGTGTAAGAAAAGAGACTCCGAGTGAATTTCATATTGACTGCCTTTACAGTAATGTCGAATTCAAGTCATGAATACAGAAGAAACTACTTTAGATATTCTTCCAGTGTGTGATCTCTGATTCTAGTCGCATTGTTTTACTCCGCCAAACGTCTGCACTTGTGATATGAATCACAGACTGAGGAAATAATGAGAGTGTATATTAATCTTTCTGACTTATTAAGTTTCGTTTTGTTCAGTTGGTAGTTTTTTCTATACATTTACCAAGGCCACAAATTATAATAGAACAATGTTTAAATTGCGGCCATACTTGTTCGCCGGTCGGCATCTGAGTAAGTGACGCAAATTATTTGGTTTCAGTTGATATGGTTGATTCAAAACGATTTATCAATTATATACATGATATATATAAATGTATTTCAAACGTTCAGGTTCTGGTGTAAAACTTTCAAGTTCCCCGCATACATGGCATATTGAACATATTGGTCAATCAATCAGTACCAAACCTATCGTGTAACAGTGTTATCGTCATTTTAAAGAACATTTTTGCAAGGTTGCGTCTCGTCATGATCATTAGTTCGCCAGTTCTGTGCAAAAGGTTCCAAACCAAGTGTTTACGACAGAACAACCATCACAAATTGATTTTAGAATGTGTGATGGTCTTGAAATAAAGATGTTTTTTTTCAAGATTAATGTGGTTGTCCGAAATTTTTCTTGAATTAAGTAATAGTTGAAAAGTTTGAATGACAGTTTATATGACATTAGGTACGCAGATTTCCAAGAAACCTTTGTTCTCTTTGTTTGGTTTCTTTTTGCATGTAATTACTTGTATGTTTCTCTGTCTCTGTTTCTCATTTCTTGAAAAGACAATATTTTTGTTTCTCTGTATAAAAATATTTAATTTGAAATATCTATGTTGATCTGGAAGATATATGTGATCGAATTGAACTATTACATACACTGTCATGTGTAACAACAGCGACACTAGAAAAAAGTTTGTAGTGTAAGACTCCTCATATATATACGGGAGGATTTTGTTATACAAGTACAAGACCAACATATAAAAGAAACAGTACACGTAGGAACCATAAAACTTACAAAAATGAAAGCATAATCAAAGCATTCATTACGCAACTGTTTAATATATGACAGATTTTGTAAATGAAAAGTTTTCACGAGAGTATCAACTGCCAAGTAGCTCCGCACTTCGGTATTATATACTAGTATGAACATACTGATATATTGTTACATTTATATTGAACTTCGCTGTTATAAAACATAGAAAGTAATTTAAAATTAAGAAATTCATCTCCCTCATATAGCTCTGATTCCTGTACGCTGTAGATCCTTCACGGTTATATCTACTCTAACGTTTTTATACGACCGCAAAAATTGAAAATTTTTTGGTCGTATATTGGTATGACGTTGGCGTCGTCGTCGTCGTCGTCGTCGTCGTCGTCGTCGTCGTCGTCGTCGTCGTCGTCGTCGTCTGGCGTCGTCCGGCGTCGTCCGAAGACACATTGGTTTTCGCACTCTAACTTTAGTTTAAGTGAATGGATCTCCATGAAATTTTACCATAAGGTTCAATACCACGAAAGGAAGGTGGGGATTGATTTTGGGGGTTATGGTACCAACAGTTAAGGAATTAGGGGCCAAAAAGGGGCCAAAAATAAGCATTTTTGTAACTTCCAGACAATAACTTGTGTGTAAGTGTATGGATCTCTCTGACATTGTACCACAAGGTTCCATATCACAAAGGGAAGGCTGTAATTGATTTTGGGGGTAATTGCCTCAAAATTTTAGGAATTAGGGGCCAAAAAAGGGGCAAAAAACAAGCATTTTTCTAGTTTCATGACAATAACTTGTGTGTAAGTGTTTGGATATTTCTGAAATTGTACTACAAGGTTCGATATCACAAAGGGAAAGCTGGAATTGAGTTTGGGGGTAATTGCCCTAAACGTTTAGGAATTGGGGGCCAAAAAGGTGCCAAAAATAAGCATTTTTCTAGTTTCCAGACAATAACTTGTGTTCAAGTGTATGGATCCCTCTGAAATTGTACTGCAAGGTACCATACCACAAAGGGAAGGCTTGGATTGAGTTTGGGGGTGATGAATCATAAGGGGGTTCAAAAAATTTGGGGGGGGGATTTTTTTTTTTCTTTTTTTTTCTTTTTTTCCTTTTTTTTTTCTTTTAAAATTTTCCATTTTAAGTTGGTTATTTCTGATTAATATTTAAAAGCAAATAATAATGATATGGTAGGAGATACACACCAAACAGGATGTGTAAATTATTATATAATAAGTATTGTGCAATAGCAAGAAATTTTCAATTGCACAGTATTGCACAATTGCAAGAAATCTTCAATTGCACAGTATTGCACAATAGCAAGAAATCTTCAATTGCACAGTATTGCGCAATAGCAAGAAATATCCAATAGCACAATATTGCGCAATAGCAAGAAATTGTCAATTGTACAGTATTGCACAATAGTAAGAAATATTCAATTGCACAGTATTGTGCAAAAGAAGATACTTCGTATAAATTGCTTATTTCTTGATCAATTTCAATGGGGTTTTATTCTTGAATTCTTGGGGTTCTTTAATATGCTGAATCTAACCGTGTATTAAGTTTTTGGATTTTGGGCCCCGTTTTTAAATTGGTCCACATTGAGGTCCAAAGGGTCCAAAATTTAACTTTGTTTGATTTCATCAAAAATTGAATTATTGGGGTTCTTTGATATGCCGAATCTAACCGTGTATTTAGATTCTTAATTTTTGGTTCCGTTTTCAAATTGGTCTACATTAAGGTCAAAAGGGTCCAAAATTAAAGTTAGTTTGATTTTAACAAAAATTGAATTTTTAGGGTACTTTGATATGCTGAATCTAAACATGTATTTAGATTTTTGATTATGGGCCCAGTTTTCAAGTTGGTCCAAATCGGGGTCCAAAATTAAACTTTATTTGATTTCAACAAAAATTGAATATATGGGGTTCTTTGATATGCTGAATCTAACCATGTATTTAGATTTTTGATTTTTGGGCCCCGTTATCAACTTTGTCCACATTGAGGTCAAAAGGGTCCAAAATTAAACTTTGTTTGATTTCATCAAAAATTGAATTCTTGGGGTTCTTTGATATGCTGAATCTAACCATGTATTTAGATTTTTTATTTGTGGACCCGCTATCAAATTGGTTCATATTGAGGTCAAAAGGGTCCAAAATTAAACTTTGTTTGATTTCATCAAAAATTGAATTATTGGGGTTCTTTGATATGCCAAATCTAACCGTGTATTTAGATTTTTAATTTTGGGTCCCGTTTTTAAATTGGTCTACATTAAGGTCCAAAGGGTCCAAAATTAAACTTAGTTTGATTTTAACAAAAATTGAATTCTTGGGGTTCTTTGATATGCTGAATCTAAACATGTGTTTAGATTTTTGATTATGGGCCCAGGTTT